CAGGGGTTCTCCATCCATGTAGGAGGGCTCCAGTTTCCATCCCAGGCCCTGGGCTTCTAACCTGCAGGCCTTCAAAGGGAAACTCACCCACTGCGGGGAGCAGTGAAAACGGCCCAGTGGGAGAGAGGCGAGGGGGCAACGGCTGTGCAAACAGTCACCCCCATGGGGCAGGGGGCCTCTCCCCTGTGGGCAGAGCCTGACACCTGGGCCTTCTTCCTGTGACTGCGTGAGAGGCATATAGATAGGGCATGTGTGTCAGCCAGTATATACACATGTGCATCTCAGTGCATGCCGCGAGGAGAGCGCCTCAGCACGTGTGTGCGTGTGTCTAGGCACACATCACGAGGCATGTATTGCAGTATATACATGTTGAGTGTGTCTTGGTAGATTAAGAACATGTTACAGCAGGGATTGGTGAATTACAACCTATGCGCCAAATCCATTCACTGCTTGTTTTTGTACAGCCCATGAGCTAAGAACGGTTGTTACATTTTTAAATGGTTGGGGAAAAAAATAAGAGTATTTCATGACACATAAAAATTATATGAAATTCAAATTTCAGTGTCCAAAACTCATTTTACTGGAACACAGCTACACTCATTTGTTATGTATTGTCTACAGTCACAGAGTAGCTGCAATAGACATGGTATGGCCTCAAGGCCTAAAATATTTACCATCTGGCCTTATGAGGGAGCCCTGGTGGCACAGTGGTTAAGAGCTACGGCCGCTAACCAAAAGGTCAGCAGCTCGAATCCACCAGCTGCTCCTTGGCAACCCTATGGGGCAGTTCTACTCTGTCCTATAGGGTCACTATGAGTCGGAATCGACTCAACAGCAACAGGTTTTGGCCCTATGAGAAAAACTCTGCTGGCTCTTGTATTAGACCACTAGCAAAACTGGTGGGACACACTCCAACCTCCCACAAAAATTAAAGTTCAGTTCAATTAACTTATCAAGAATTTTACAATTAGAAAATCTAGATAGATGCTGTGTTCATTTCAGCACATACATGCAAGTTTTGTGTTTTACAACTTTATATTGTTTTTTAAGTGTGTTAGGACCTCTAAAGGTCTGAATTCCACTCCACTCATTTACAATCTGCAGGGTTTAGCACATGCTGGGCATGTAGTGAGTGATTAGTCAATGCTTGGAGATAAAATAGGCTCAGTTCTCTCCATCAACCCAACACCCCTGCTAGTGAAACGATGCTCTCGCCCATTTCATAGATGTGAAAACTGAGACCTGGAGAGGTGAGGACACCTGCCCAAGGTCCAACAGCCAGTCAGTGGCAGAGGGGTGTCTGGAACTCAGGTCTCCCACCTCCTGATCCAGGCTCTCTCCTGGACCATTAACAATGAGGACAAGATGTCCTCTCTTAGGATATATATATATTTTTGCTCCCAGTTGGAACAGGGTGCGGGGGGGGGACAAATTATAACATATGCGGTGGGGAGGCATCTTGCCCCTCCCTCCAGGGGATTTCCAGGCATCCTAGGTCCCTGCCAGCCCTAATAGGTTTCCTTAACTGGGGGGGTCTTGGCAGGTGCCCAGGAGCCCAGTGAGGGATGAGTGTTTTTCCCTTTTCCGGCAAACAGGGGACAGGTGTGGAGTGAACCGCTCTGGGGGGGTGGGGGGAAGTGACCAAAGCTAAACTGGGGGATCCAGAGAGGTTGAACCATAAAAGGCTGCCACTGCTGAAGGGGGAAAGAAGAGAGTTTGGGAGTCTGGGGAGCCAGGAACCGCGGTGGGGGTGCTGCATATAGAAAAAAACCAAACCTGTCGCCATCAAGTCAATTCTGACTCAAAGTGACCCTACAGGACAGGGTAGAACTGCCCCATGGGATTTCCAAGGAGCGCCTGGTGGATTCGAACTGCTGACCTTTTGGTTAACAGCCGAACGCTTAACTACTATGCCACCAAGGGGCCCTGAAAGGGGGCGGCAATCAAAGGCAAAGTCACCAACTTGGCAGCCTCAGGAGGGGCTATCCCTGCTTCCAACAGTTTAACAGTTGCCACTGAGTTGATTCTGATTCATGGCAACCCATCTGTGTCAGAGTAGAACTGTGCTCCACAGGGTTTTCAATGGCTGATTTTTCGGAAGTGGGTTGCCAGGCCTTTCTTCTGAGGTGCCTCCGGGTGGACTCAAACCTCCAACATTTTGGTTAGCAGTTGAGCATGGTAACTGTTTGCACCACCTAGCGACTCATTTCCCCCTAAACCCAGGCCCTGAAACATCCCTACACCTCAGCATTAGCTGTGAACCTGCAGAATGCCAAACCTCTGAGCCAAGGAGAAAACCCACCTCCTTCTGCTATCAGGGAGTCCCTGAGGAGTACAAATGGTTATCACACTTGGCTGGTAGCAAAAGGTTAGAGGTTTGAGTCCACCCAGAAGTACCTCAGAAGAAAGGCCTGGCGACCTACTTCTGAACAATCGGCCATTGAAAACCCTATGGAGCACAGTTCTACTCTGATACACATGGGGTGGCCACAAGTCAGAGTAGACTTGATGGCCACTGGTTTTGGTCTGCTATCAGACTTCTGCCCTCCGCTAGAGAAGTGTCTGGAATAAGCCAGGGGGGATGAAGCAGGGGATGCCCAGGCCTCTCACTTCTCCATCAGGGCCTCAGAAGCTGCTCTGGGAGAAAGGATGGGCTCAAGCACTCAGCGGTGACTTCGCCTACTCCCAGGATGAAATTAAAAGTCTTCTGCACGGCTGTCCAGGCTGTATGTCTGGTCTCTGCTCTAACCGCATCTTGCACAATCTTCCCCTCGTTCTCTGCACTGCAACCACAATGGCCTTGAATACACTCTGAACCAGCCCACCTCAGGGCCTTTGCACAGGCTGTTTCCCCTGCCTGGAACACTACCCCCTCACTCTCATTCTTCTGATCTCTGTTCAAACATCACTTCCTCAGATTAGCCTTCCCTGACCACTCCAACCCAGGTTTGTTTCATGCTATCAGAGCTGCTGTAAGTCTTCTTTGAGGGCACTCTACAGCGGGTTATGTGTATGATTATGTGCCTGTCTCCCTGATACACTGGGACCTCCTTGGGGCCAAGGACTCTTGTCTGTCTTGCTCCCTGCTATGCCCCAGTGCTTAGCACAGGGCCTGTCACTGAGCAGAAGCTCAATAAATGATTGAAGGAATGCATGAATGATGGGTACCATCAGGGTCTGAAGTCAGTCCCCGGAGTTATGGAGACAAGGATGGACTGACATGCAACAGCAATAAACCATTGGTTATTCATTTACCTGTTTCCAGACCTGGTGACCACCTGTAGGTACCAAGCCACATTCTAGAGCAGTGCTGTCCAAAAGATTTTGCTGCAATGATGGAAATATTGCACTGTCCAATATGGTAGCCACGACACACATGTGGTTACTGAGCACTAGAAATGTGTCTAGTGGGACTGAAGAACCGAGTTTTTAGTTTCGTTTAATTTCAATTAACCTAAATTTCAGTAGCCACATGTGGTTAGTTGCTACCATAGTGGACAGTACAGCCCTAGACAGAAGAAAAGCCACAACCGTCCTACTGTCCCCGAGGCTGTTAATGCACTTCTTGGTCTTTGGGGTCACACACGCCCAGGCTTCTTTGGCAGCTTCATGAGGCAGGATCTCAGGAGTTCACCATTCTTTACTGCCAGCAAGCTTGTCACAGAGACTGGGCACCAACTACTCAGGAAGATCTCCACAGTGATGGCAAATCTTGAATAAAACTTCAGAATGAAAATGCTGAGAGTAGGACCTCATCTTTTTTTATCACCTGTCACCACCAACACTATCAACACCACCATAGTGTCCCTGATACACTCACCGACACCTCCAAGCAATGACCACATCAGCACTACCACCCACTCCACACAAGCACCAAAACTGCCACCAACACCATTCTCTCCATCATCACACCACCCCCAATCCTACACTCAATACAGTCACCAACACCACAACCCACCGACGCCGCAATCAACACAACCCCCAACACTGTCGCTACCACCCGATGCCACCGCTGACGCCACCATCCGTACCACCACTGACATCACTACTGATACAGCCATCGTCGTTCTCCATCACCATCACCACCATCACACCACCACGACCGCCACTGACATCATCACCAACACAACCACGACCAGCTCCTCTGTCATTACCACCCCACCACCTCCATCAAACCACTAATACCCCCCACCTGGACATCATTACCACCACCATCACAACCACCCCTACACCACCACCACTTGGAGCCAGTATAGGATACCAACTAAAAGCTTTGGCTCTGGAATTCAACTGCCTGGGTTTAAATCCCAGCTGAGTTTAACTCATTCAACTTCTGCAAGACTCAATTTTTCATCTGTAAAATGGGGCTAAGAATGATAATACAATAATAAGACCTAAACCTAAAGCCGTTGCTGTCAAGTCAATTCCAACTTATAGTGACTCTATAGGACAGAGTAGAACTGCCCCATAGTGTTTCCCAGGAGCGGCTGGTGGAGTCGAACTGCCAACCTTTTGGTTAGCAGCCAAGCTCTTAACCAGTGTGCCACCAGGGCTCCAATAAGACCTACTGCCTGCAACTGCTGAAAAAATCAAATAAGAAGATGCCTGTACACTGCTTAAACTACAGTAATTTAGTACTGCCTTCTAGGTTCTGTGCTTAGCGAGCACAGCTGTATTTAGTCCTCACACAGCTGCGAGAGATAGTGATCGCATCCACTCATTTTGCAGATGAGAAAATTGAGGCTCAGAGACATAACACACTGGCCCAGGCCCCACAGCTAATATAGAATGCTGGACTGGAATCTGAGTCTTAAACCGGACTAGGCTAGACTGTCCCCTTTTTTGGGGAGTGGCTGGGTCAGCAGATTGGCCTTTCTGCAGTTCCAGGCTCCATCCTCAGAGATGCTGGGGGGATTTCAGCACCCTACCGTGAAAGGTGGTGGTGTCTGTGTCTCCACCCAGCCCGGAGGGTGACGTGGGTGGGTAGAGGGTCTGCTCACCTGTGTCTTGGCGAAATTGGTGCATGGACTGCAGGTCGATGATGTAGGGCACCAGCTGAGCGTCCACCTGCCCCAGGACCACGGAGCCGCGGGCGTCCTCCTTGAGCACATTCTCAATGTGGTGGCACACTGTAGCCGTGTAGGGCCGCCAGCGGCTGTGCTCATTCAGCCACTCCCATACCACCACCCGGGCCACGTTCTGCGGCGGGAAGCCCAGCCCGTTCACGGGCACCATCACACCCTGGCCTGGCCGAGACATGGCCGCCGTGGCTTCAGGGGCCAGGTCCCCACTGTTGCTCAGCCCAGCTCCTCCTGGACCTGCGGACAGGCAGGGAACGTCCTCTCTCCCCAGGGGCACAGCAAGGGCTGTCTGGCCTCCTTTCTAAGTCCGGGTCCTCTCTGGGGCCTAGAGGCCTCAGGGAAGGAGTGTGGGGTGGTGTTCCAGGCTCCAAGGACCCACTTCCACTCAGAGCTGTCTCAGTTCAAGGGTGCTGCTCTGGAAAGCAAATGTCTTCCTTACAGTCGGGGTGGGGGGACGTTGTTCTAAATTCCTTGGTCCCGTCGGCTCAGGTAAGAGAGTGAGGCCGCCCTTACTCTAGATGCAGCCTCTTCTCTGCCGCTGTCTGCTCATTTTTCCAGCCGCTCAGGGCCTGTCACCCAGGAGGCCCCGGCCCCAGCCTGCTGCTCGCTGCTGTGGCGCCCAGCCAGCCCTCTGCGCTCCCAACTGCGTCCCAGACCCTGCGCTGGCTCCAGCGGGGCTGCTCGCCGTGCCTGGGTCCGCCCCCCGACGGCTCCTGCAGAAGGGGATGTCTCTGCACCCCTGTCCCCTCTCCACGGCGTCCTGGAAGGCCTGGGTGGCCGCAGAACGCACGGGGGTGGGGAGGCGCAGCGCACCCCCGGCCCACGGGCCTGGGTTGCAGCTCCCGACTTGGGCTGGGGGCCGAGGGGGGCGGGGGCCCGTGGGCACGCCCCACCCCACTCGTGCTCGAGACCTGCCGAGACAAGAAGGGGAGAGGGCCCTTTAAGAGGAGAGCGCAGCACCCCCTCCCCCCTTCCCGGGAGAACGCACGGCTGAGAACAATGGGGAACGGATGGGGGGACAGTGGGGGGGGGGCTTCAGGGGGTCGCCCTGCCCGCGTTTCCTTGGGCCAGGGGCGCGGTTTTCTGAGGTGCCCGCCGGCGGCGCCCCCTCCCCAGCTCCGCGCGCTCCCCTCCCCCGGGCCCCCGCCCAGCCCGGGGGTGCAGGGTGCGGCGATGGGCGGCGCTGCAGGCGCGGCCCAGGGCCCCTCGGGGGTCGCGACACGGAGGGGGTGACGCCGCGAGGTGCGGCGTCTGCTGCCTCCCGCTTTGAGGGTGACAGCTCCCTTCCCCAGCCCAGCCCTCCCCAAACGGCGCGGGCCCTACAGGAGCCGGGGGTGGGGTCCCCGCGCGCCCCACGCTCTCACCGCCTCTCCTCTGCTCAGCCTCCCTCTTGGCTGGCGCCTCAGCCCTGCTGCCTCCCGGGCTCCCCCCGAGCGGGAGGGAGCCGCGGTCCTGCCTCTGCGCCCTGGCCCTACCAGGCCCCGCTGCCGCCGCGCGCCGACAGACTGCCCCACCGACCGACGGACGCAGGAGCAGGCAGCCGGACGCCGGGATCCCGCGGGTGGAAGGTGGTGGCTGCCGCGCTCGGGGGAGGGGCAGGGGCGGGGGCGGAGGAGGAGGAAGGGGAGGAGACACATCGCGCCCCGAGCGCCGCTGTCGCTGACAGCTAGTCCCGGGGCCCTAAATCCTGGGCTAGGCCCACTGGGGCCCCAAGCCTGGCGCGCTGCAGAGTGGGGTGTAGATGGGTCACCTGCTAGAATCTTAGTCATCTGTGCATTTCTGTCACTTAGTCCGGGACTAGGCATACAGTAGGTGCTCAATAAATGCTTGAATAAATGAATAAGAGCCAGAGGCTGGCTAAAGAAAGATCTTAACGCCTTCTGGCATCGCTTCCTTTTTCCTCCCAGTATTCTAGGGGGCGGGAGGCGCTGGCAAGGCCCATTTCAGAGCCAAATGAGATCAGGGAATCTAAAGTGTACAGATGGGGAGGCGGAGGCCCAGAGAGGGTAAGAGACAGGCCCAGGGTCACACAGCAGCTTAGAGCAGTGCCCAGAGGTGAACCCACATTTAATTCTCTAACAGTACCGAGTTAGCAAGCCTGGGGCCCACTTCCCCAAAGCACCTACCTGACTGGGTAGTGGGATGGGGACAGCATGCTGCCTCTCAGCCAGGGGGGACGCAGGCAGGGAGGCAGAGGCCTTGGAAGAAAGTCTCCAAACTATTAGAAATAAGGTCCCAAAAGGCAGGCTCACTTCCATCTTGTTCACAGCTGTATCCTCCAGTGCCTGCAAACAATAGGTGCTCAATAAATGATAGGTGAGCATTGGCTAGATGGAAGGGGAGGGAGATGGTGGCAGCAGAGTTAATGGGATGGCCCGTCCCTCCCACCGCAGCTTGGCTGGATGCAGCTGAGGACACACATCAACTGGGAGGGGGTGGACCACCCGGGGCCTGTGGGTGTTTAGATTAGGGAAGATGAAGGATGCGTCCGGGAACTCCAGCCTGGGCGGCCGATGGGGATCAGCAGTCTGTTTGGGAGCCTGTCTGGAGCGGCCCACGCTCCCCTGCCTCCCCAGGGCAGATGGTGATAAACTAGAAGAGGTCAGGGGCAGGTTGCTCAGGGGCCCTTTCCCAGAACCCAAGTGCCTTGGCCAGCTGGAGTGGCCTCCCTTCCCCAGGCTCCTGCTCTGTGCTGCAGGACAGCCCAGTGCCTGATGGGCTTTTCCAGAATAGCACAGCGATTCTGCTTGCTTGTGCTTGCAGCAGACCACAGAGAGAGAGTCCGTCTGAGGGCAGGGCCAGGTCTGCTGTTATAACAGCCTCATGGTGCTCTGGAATTGTAGCCTAGGGCCCAGCGATGGCTTTCAGCAGATTCTCAAAGGAGGTTGGAACCCAAGAGGTTCAGAGTCGATGCTTGACAACCTTATGTTACAGAAGGGGACCTGGGGACCCCAAGGTGGGGGACAGACTGGCTCAAGATCATTAGGGATTTAGCAGCACATTGGAAAGACGAACCCAAGTCTCCTGACTTCCTGTCTAATGCTGTTCAAGGCCTGACTGAATGTCACCTCCTCCAGGAAGCCTTCCCTGAATTTACCCCATCTTCCTCTGTGCTTCTTTGCCCATACCTTGATCTGACACCCGTATCACAATTAGCCATTTAAATTAAACCTGCCCCTGCTAGGGTGAGACATCCATGAGATCAGGGGCTGTGTCTTACTCATCTTTATGTGATTTGGCTGGTGCTCATTACATAATGGTTATCATTTATTGAGTCTGTTATGTGCCAGGCACTTACATGTTGTTGTTAGTTGCTGTCGAGTCGGCTCCAACTCATGGCGACCCACGTACAACAGAATGAAACACTGCCCAATCCTGCACTGTCTCCATCATCGTTGAGTATGCTCAAGTCCATTGTTACAGCCACTGTGTATTTTGAGTGCCTTCCAATCTAAGGTGCTCAACTTCCAGCACTATATTGCCTTTGCTATGTTAATGAGGCAGGATTAGTGTAGGGTGTATCTTGAGTCAATCTCTTTTGAGATATAAAACAGATTAAACAAGTGAGCAGAGCAGAGATGGGGTAAGATAGATACCAAGACACACGGAGATCTCCAAGGAACCAAAAAGCAGAAGCTGAAGAGACAAAGACCTTCCTCCAGAGCCGAATGAGAGAGAAAACCTTCCCCTAGAGCCAGTGCTCTGAATTCGGACTTCTAGCCTCCTGTTTTTGTCGCTGTTAGGTGCCATCGAGTCGGTTCCGACTCACAGAGACCCTATGTATAACAGGAGGAAACCCTGCCCGGTCCTGCGCCATCCTTACAACTGTTGTTATGCTTGAGCCCAATGTTGCAGCCACTGTGTCAATCTATCTCGTTGAGGGTCTTCCTCTTTTTTGCTGAACCTCTACTTTACCAAGCATGATGTCCTTCTCCAGGGACTGGTCCGCTGAAACCTGCCCACCATGGGTGACCCTGCTAGTATTTGAAATATCAGTGGCATAGCTTCAAGCCTCACAGCAACATGTCAACCCCTACAGTATGACAAACTGACAGATAAGTGGTGGTCTAGCCTCCTAAATGATGAGAAAATCAATTTCTGTTTGTTAAAGCCACCCACTTGTGGTATTTCTGTTATAGCAGCACTAGATGACTATGACAGGGTGTCTGCGGAAGACGAGTGGTTTGCCCGGGTTCCCACAGGGAGTAAGTGGGATTTGAACCTCAAACCATCTCTCATGGCATCATGCTGTCTGTGTTTGCTGAGCGACTAACGAATGGCTTTCAGCTGAAGATCTGGTGCTAATGTGGCCCTTACTGGCCCCCGTCAACTGGACCAGTCAGCCAAGTGGTCTGTAGAACATCTTACAGTCCAAAGCCCTGGTCTGGGCATCCTGGGAGAAAGGAATTCCAAGGAAGTGGAAGATTTACTTGGTCTTTAAAGAGCCATAGTCCACTGGGAGGATGGCGCAGACATTAATGGAAAAACCAAGAGAACAAAAGCAATCAATCATGAACTCATTTTTCATTCTCCCATCCATCATCCATCCATCCACTCATCCATCTATGCACCATTAATCTATACATTCATTCATGTGAGTACTCTTCCTTCCTTCCTTCTTATTTCCTTCCTTCCCGCCGCCTTCCTTTCTTTTTTCTTATCCGTCTAACTATCCATCCATGTATACATACATACGTCCCAAAAGTACTGGAGCTCTCCTATGTGCCAGGCACGGGGCTGTGTGCTGAGATTCAGAGATAATCAAAGCGGTAGGTTCCTGCCCTTTGGGCTCTCCAAGTACAGTGGGAGAGTCAGACATGAATCAAAGAATCGCACAGAGTATGATTACAAACTTTTGCAAAAGCCTTGAAGAAAACCTTCAGGATAATAAGGGGCCCTATTAGACTATAAGACCGAAGAAGAATTGAGGCCTTTGAATGTTGGTGTTGGTGAAAAATATTGAACACATCATGGACTGCCAGAAGAACGAACACATCTGTCTTGGAAGAAGAACAACCGGAATGCTCCTTAAAAGCAAGGATGGTGAGACTGCGTCTCATGTACTTTGGACATGTTATCAGCAGGGACCAGTCCCTGGAGAAGGACATCAGGCTTGGTAGAGGGTCAATGAAAAAGAGGAAGACCCTCAATGAGATGGATTGACACAGTGGCTGCAACAATGGGGTCAAACATATTCATGATTGTGAGGATGGTGCAGGACCGGGCAGGGATGTGCAAAGGCCCTGAGGTAGGAAAGAGCTTGATGTGTTAGAGGAATAAAGAGGAGGCTGGAGTGGCCACTGAGAACTGAGCAGGAGTGAGTGTGGGGCAAGATGAGATGGGCAGGGCCACCATGCAGGGCTTTGTGAGTCCGAGTATAGGTTTGGGATTTTATCCTAAGAGCCATGGGGATTTACTGAAGGGGATTTGAAGTGTTTGAAAGAATCTGAAAGTAGCTAATCTTTATTGAGCATATACTATATGCTTGTCCCTAGGTGTTAAAAACTGTTAACGATCTTGGCTGCTAACGGAAAGGTTGGAGGTTCTAGTCCACCTAAAGGCACCTTGGAAGAAAGGCCTGGAGATCTACTTCTAAAAAATCAGCCAGTGAAAACCCTGTGGAGTACAGTTCTACTCTGAGACACATGGGATCACCATGAATCTCAATCAACTCAAGGCAACTGC